GGTGTGGCTACGTAGAGCCCCTTGAGCCGTCGCTTGCAGCTCAGAAACACTGTACACACCGGAGCTTAAGCAAGTCGACGAAAGCAAATAAGCAGCAACTTCTTGTGTGGAGTGAGAAAAAGAGAGTTGTGCGCCATGGATGCGACCGTGCCGACTGAACCAGACTATTCAGCTGTCCTTCCCGATGTAAACCCAGTGCAAGCACATCAACAGGGTATGAGCCCAAATACCGCGAGCGTAACTGCCGTTACCGATGTGCAAGAGCCAATGCAAAACGCTGTAATGGCGGCTGGTAATCAGGAAGTGGATGGTGGTGTGGCCGTGAGGACGATGGCGGTGGCAGTGGCTACAGGCCAGTCTGGGGGCACTCCGAATTGGCCAGCCGCAGAGGCTAGCCCTTCTGGACGAGTGGACGTGGCTCACGAGCAGATTGTGGGCACTGCAGAACACCCGTTCGGACAGATGAATGCGGCGCAAGCTTCGTGGAGTATGATGGCGACGCGGAGAACTACGCCAGCATGGATCCAGAGGCTTGGGGCTTTTTTCCATGAGATGAGAAGCAGCCAGCAAACGGCTTGGCCTCCTTCGCCGATGGGATCCCCACCAACGAGGGCAATGCAAAGCTCAAGAGGATCGCCAGAGGTGGAACAGCGAGGCTGGGGATCGCCAGTGTTGCTGAGCCCTGAGCAACAAGAACAGCTTCGAAGGATGGAGCAAAGAGCACCGCTCCTGTATGGCCCGCCCAGGGGTGAAAGACAACCGGAGGGCAATGGCAGCTCTGGTGGGAGCACCTACGAGGCAGTGCAGGAGGAGGTAAAGAGACAACTGCGAGGGGTCGTCTCGCAATTGGAGGCTTCGAGAAGAGAGGCACAAGATCTACGACAGGAAGTGGAGTTCCTGCGTGCTGAGCGAGAACAAGTTGGGCCCAGCAGACAACTGGAAGATATGACGATGCCCGAGGGGCCTCCAGTGACGCTGGGAGGATACTTGGCCAATAAGGCAGCAGAGTCAGAGAACGGTCCTGCAGCGAGTACCTTGGTGGAGCAAGCAAGATCCTCTACCGGAGCAAGACCGGGTGTACAAGAAGCCATGCCTACCACGGGGGTGTCGGGATTACATACAGGTCCTGCTCTTGGTACGGTACAAAGCAGTGCAGCCATGCCTATCACGGGGGTGTCGGGCTTATGTGCAAGATCTTCTACTGAAGGGGGATCGGGCATACAAGCAGGTTGCTCTACCACAGGGGTGTCGGGCTTGCAGGCAAGATCTACTATGGGTACAGGGCCAAACATTCAGACACAACAGGCTACCTCTACGTCGATGGGGTTGGGTACAAAGCAGAGTCAGCATCTGGCAGCCGCGCCGTCAGAACAGGCGCCACCGAATCCAGCAGCAATGACCTCGGGATCAATGGCAGGGCCTGGCGGGGCAGCAGCTGGAGGCTCAGATCCAATGTCGAGGCTGTTGGAGGGCCTTGAGAAGGTTATCAAGGGTGGGAAGCCGGAGGAGCTAAGCAAAACGGTGGACTCACCCAAGCTGCCTGAAATTTCAGAATCGTCGTCAGTGGACTTTGGTGATTGGTTGTATCTCATAGAGCATGTGATGAGTGACCTTTCGACCTCCAGTGCAGAGTGGTGGGCGGCTGTGGTGCAAGATGCTCAGGACTTCTATGAGAGGTACCAGGCCGCAGATCAGTTCTCGAGGTTGTCGATGAAGCCAGCTGCATCTCCCACCTTGAGCGAGGCGAGATGGAGTCGCCTGGACCGGAGGGGTGCAACCATTCTACTGGGGGCGGCCCCGGAGGACGTCAAGAAGGAGCTGGTGGCGACGAGGACCAGGACCACTCTGGAGGTTTTGGCAAGGCTTATGGTCCTTTATCGTCCGGGGAGTGCTTTGGAGAAGGGTCAGCTGCTTCGGAGGATTGAAAGCCCGGATGCAGCAACCACAGTGCAGGAGGCTATTGAAGGGCTTAGGCAGTGGCTGAGGCATTACCAAAGAGCCCGGGACTTGAAGCTGTCGGTTCCTGATCCATCAGTCACGCTTCGCGGCATTGACCAGCTGGTGAAGAAGCCTGTTCAGGATAACCCGGAGGTTGCGTTCCGTATGAACTTGCTCCGCTACCACCTGAAGGTTGACTTCTCCCCAACAGAAGAGTCGATCCTGGCAGTGCATCGTGCTTTGCTGGCTGAGTTTGAGCAGATGGGGTTCAAGAAAAAGACAAGACAAGTTCAAGAGGGCACGTCGACAGCAGGAGTGAGGGCTATGGATACACAGCAAGCTCAGGTCCCCGCGGACCCAGATGGCCGCCAGAGAGCTCTTAGGTCCACGCACGAGCCTTGGGGACTACGTGAGGGGCTTAATCCGGATGAGAGCTCAAAGGTCCTTAATGAGAATGTCATGCTTTGCAAAATGGTGTGTGCGGAGGCTGCGCATGGTGACTGGGATGAAGGAGGCCAATACTGCGTTGGTTTCTGTATGGAGTACCCCGAGGACCCCTACAACTACATGCCAGAGGGGGAACACCGCAGCTCATGTGTCTCAGTGTGGAGAACCGAATTCATGAAGGAGTTCATCAAAGAGACCAACCTCATCAAGCACCAGTTTGAGCAGGGTGCTTTGGGACACATGTTTCGAAGGCCTACCTGCTGTTTGAGCAATTTGGGTCTGGGAATACAGGGACTCAAAGACCAGAGAGCCTATGTGGCGGCGGACAACAAAGACGCAGATCATTCAGTTTGGCCGCATGGTTTTCGGATCACTTTGGCGGACGCGATCCATGAGTGGAAGAATGGTGAGAGCCCCATAGTGGTCAAGAAGGCGATGACGAAAAAGGAGCTGGAGGAGTGGAAAGCTCATGTTGAACGTGGGCACTGGCCTTATAGACGTGATTGTTCAGTTTGCTTGACTGCTTCAGGGACAGGAAGGCCAGCGAGAAGGGTGGTCCATAGAGATGCCTACGTGATGAGTTTGGATATAGCTGGCCCGTTTGCAGACAAGGGAAAGGACGAGGTCAGGGGAAAGAAATATCGCTTTGTGCTTGCGGCGACCTACCTTTACCCAAAGATGCGGGATGTACCTGAGGACGCTCCGATCCCGAATGAGGAGGAGGCGGAGGAGTTCTTGAGGGAGGAGGAAGAAGAGCCAGAAGCACACGAACTTCCTGAAGATCCTGAGTGTGAAGCACAGGAGGAGGAATGGAAGAAGAAAGTCGCGGACCTACGAAAGCCAATCGAGTTGCAGATGCTCAGGTTCCGCATTCCGTTGGAAAGGCACACTGGCAAAGAGATCCTCGAGTGCATCCAGGTCCTGTATGTTCAGTTGAGGGCTATGGGGTTGCCATTGACGAGGCTCCACAGCGATAGAGCTCGAGAGTTTCGGGTCAAGCCGGTGCGAAAATGGTGTCGAGAACGGGACATTTACCAGACGTTCACGGAGGGCTTGGCGCCTACACAAAATGCGGTGGCGGAGAGTCATGTGAAGTGGCTCAAAGGCAGGGCGCGAGTACGCCTGAACGAGATGGAGTTGGACAAGGAGTTTTGGCCTTGTGCTATGAAGCATGCTTGCTCGCAGCATAATGCGAGACAGATGGGCACGAAGACTGCGGGCATCAAGTTTGGTTCCGTTGTTTGGGTGAAGTCCAAGAAGGACCGAGGGCCGTTTGACCCAAGGTGGAAACGAGGCAGGTATATGGGACCAGCCGACGATGTTCGTGAAGGACATGTGGTTCGCTTGGATGATGGTCTATGGCTTCGCACCTTGCATATGAGGACGGTGAGGGACGACGAGATGGAAATGGAGGAGGAAGAACACATCGTGGACCTCATCGAGCCTACGAGGCGTATGCGAGGAAAAACCAAGTTGAGTGATCCTGAGTTGCGGGCCATTCGCAAGCAAGAAAGGGCTGTCCTGGTGAAAGAGCTGCTGGAGTCCAAAATTTGGGATTCACCTCAGGCCAAAGTGGAGCGACCCCAGATGAAGGAAGGTGAGGTCTGGGATGGTGCTGCATATATAAACCTGGGTGCATATCAGCATGGGGGAATTACCAGCATCACCAAGGCGACTGAGAAGTTCAACAAGGAGGCTGTCTTGGCTGCTAAGCTCCTGGCACTTGATCACCCGGGGTCGTCGTTTACGTCAATGGCCTTAGTGAAGAATGCAGTCATGCCCATACACCGCGATTCCTTCAACCACAAGAAGGCGATGAACCTGATCTCACCTCTCAGGGTCGCTAAGGGAAGCTGTGTTTGGCAGGAGCTAAAGCAGGGTGATGAGTTCAAGGGAAACTACTGCTCGATGTGGGTGAACGAGAGGGAGGTGCCAGGCCAGAAGATGAGCGTGGAGTCTCCAGCTAAGGTCCGTCCCGATCGCCTACACGCACCACTTCGAGGAGATGATGGAGATCGAATTGTGGTGATAGGCTACACAGTGAGCAAGTGGGAGAAATTACATCAGTTTCAGTGTGACGATTTAGAGGAGCTGGGTTTTGTCCTACCGGAACGTGAACCAGTGGTGAAGATGATGAATGCCGATGGGAGGAGGAGGCCGCCTACGCCACCAATTCCGGAGGAGAACTCAGGAGCCGTCGGTCCACCAAATGGGACCACAGCAGCTCCGCCGACCGGAGCTACGAACACAGTGATGACCTCAGGGGCGAGTTTCTTGGGGCCAGGATCGTCAAGCGAGTCGACATTGCCAAGGCCGGTGTCAGAGGATCACATGGACGTGAGCTCAGGCACTCCAGCACCTCATACACTACAATCTTCTTCGTCGGGGTCAAGGTCGGGGCAAAGGGAGCATCTTCCTGAAATGGGCGGTGAGCGCTTGGACAGCATGGTGGTTCCAGGAGGTTGTGTGGAGCTTCGGCTGAAATGGGCCATCAAGTATATTCCGGACCTCTCCAGTCAAGGCGAGGAGGTTGTGATGACATCGGCTCCTTTGTTGCCGTTGGCGCACGATGAGGAGGAGCGGATGAGGAGTAGAGTGACATGGCTCTCAGAGTTTGTAGAGGAAGAGCGCAAGATCAAGGCGAGGCAGGCTGAGCGAGGGGAGTATGCCACGCAACGTGAGCGACAGCTATTCTACAAGCTGGATGATGCCATCGACTACATGAACGAGATCTTTTGCCTGAGCCACCAAGCGAGGGAGCAGGCAACTATGAACATGATGAAGTTGATGCAGGAGGCGGAGACGACTCCCGAGGTGGAGGAAATGCTCAAGGCCCTAACCGAGCCGATCGACACCGTGCATGGGGTGGAGCTTCAAGAGGTCAAGCGTCACCTGATGGAGTGGCAAGAGAGCATTCAGAAGGAGATCGAAGTGCTGGAAACGTCTGGCACGCTTCGTCGAGTACCACTTCAGGAAGCCAAACGACTCGCGGAGGCTGGTGAGATTGTCCTCGTGCCGTCGAAGACGGTACATACAGTTAAACCCCGGGAAACGGCAACCAGTTGTACAAAAGAAAAACTCGAATGGTGATATGTGGCAATTACGTCACCAATGAGGTTGAAGTCTACACCGCCGCGGCCAACGCGGAATCAGTGCGAGTGGCATTGTCTGGAGCGGTTACAGACGTGAATTCCGCCTTTACGCTGGCGCCTATGGATGAAGCGGAGATCAAGTACGGAATCACCGTACCGAAAGTTGTGGTGGAGGCTGGAGTGGTCCCGCCAAACACGGCGTACTTGGTCGACAGGGTGTTCTATGGGCTACGGGAAGCGCCAAGGCTGTGGGGGAGCTTCAGAGACAAGAGGGTGCACAGGGCCCGACTGATGGTGGAGGGTCAAGAATGCATGTTCTTACAGATGGAGACGGATCCTGCAGTATGGAGGCTTGTGCCGTGCAACAACCACAATGACACTTTGGCGTTGATGGTGATTTACGTGGACGATGTGATGATGCTGGCGCCGGAGAATGTCATTAAGGCCATATACCAGTGGCTCACTATGGGTGTTGAGGGTGATCAGGGATGGAAATGTTCACCAATGGATTGGATTGGAAAGGCTCCAGTTCGCTACTTGGGCATGGATATCCGTCGAAAGAACACTACCCTTACCAGTTTTCATGTGTCGCAAGGCAGCTATGTTGGTGAGCTGTTGAAGAGTTATCCAATGGAAGCTGGCCGACCTTCGCAAGTCCCGGCCACTAAGGATACAATGCCATCACAAGATGACTTGGATGAGGAGGAGGGAAGTGGGCAAGGTGACCCGGATCCAAGCCAGGTCAAAAAGGCCCAGCGCATAGCAGGAGAGCTGCTCTGGCTGGTGACCCGCACCAGACCGGACATTGGATATGCCACGGCCCATGTGTGTGGGGCAGCTTTGAAGAGCCCTGCGGCTGCGATACGGCTGGGGAAGATGGTGATGAGGTATCTGGCCGCGACGCCTACGTGGGGATTGACCTACAATGGGGTGGGCGAGCCTGTGGAGGCGTATTCAGACGCCAGTTTCGCTCCGCAGGGTGATCGCAGCTTTGGCTGCGTAACCACGGCAACCTACGGTGGATTTGCAGCGTGGCGAATGACGAAGCAGCCTACAGTGGTGCTGTCAGCAGCTGAAGCAGAGTTGGTTGGTGGAGCTAGTCAATGCCAGTCAGCAAGCTGCGGGACTACAGGCCTGGGTAGAGGAAGCATCCCCAGAGGACTGTGGCAAGCCGTTGGTTTTGCGAGTGGACAACACAGCGGCGTGTGGCCTAGCAACGACCGCTCCTGGTTCATGGAAGACGAGGCACCTGAAGGTCAAGGCCCGCCACTTAAGGTTCGAGACCAGCGAAGGCCGCATCAGAGTCGTACATACTCCGGGCGAAGTTCAGGCTGCGGACATGGGGACAAAGCCAGTGCCAGTTGCAAGACTGGTGGATCTTAGAAAGCTGTGGGGCATGTGTTCTGCAGAGGACTTTGAGGCCGATGAGGAAGAAGTGATCGTGCGCAGTCTACGTGGCGGAGATTACTACGACTTGCTAAGGATGATGGCGTGGATGATGATGGTGTCGAAGATTCCGGGAGTTGAGGCAACGGGCATCTACCACAAGAAGCCCTTGGACTATGATGGCAGTGTGGAGTTTTATGTGCTCTTGCTCATCGGTGGTATAGCTTTGCTGGCAGTATGGGAAGCCTTGAAGTGGGTAATGCAGAGATGCTTTGGTGACGATGAAGCTACTGTGGCAAAGGCTAGGAGACTGCTGAGGATCCGGAATTAAGCCTCAAGGGCTTTGCAGCAGGAGTTGGAGTCGATGAGTGCAAGTTCTTCCGACCCCATCAATGCTGACAAGCCAGTGGTATCTACACCAAAATTGGCTACGACACCGCTTTCAGAGGTGTCCCAGGGGCCAATGAATGATGCTACAAGGTCTACGAGATCTACTACGAGAGTGCCTGATGATGATCCCGACCTGAGAGCAGTGTCAGAGCATGGGGATCGGCTGCATCTGGTGGCAGACTGTCATGGACTGAGGCATGCAAATAAAGCGAAATAGAAGAAGATGCAGGTCTGCTATTATTGTGATGGCCACTTCCCGCTCTCATACAAGGTCGTGCAAGGGAGGGTGATTCCTGAGGGCAGATGAGCATCAGAAATAGCGTTTGGAGATATTTTATCTCCAAAAGAGGAGGAGTGTTGATGCACAATAGCCCTCCTAAATGCTTGGTTTCGTGAGCTCTTGAAAGGTGGTGCGTGTTATCATGTAAAGAACATCGCAACCACGTTGCTGTTCCGTTCAAGGGTGTGGCTACGTAGAGCCCCTTGAGCCGTCGCTTGCAGCTCAGAAACACTGTACACACCGGAGCTTAAGCAAGTCGACGAAAGCAAATAAGCAGCAACTTCTTGTGTGGAGTGAGAAAAAGAGAGTTGTGCGCTATGGATGCGACCGTGCCGACTGAACTAGACTACTCAACTGCCCTTCCCGATGTAAACCCAGTGCAAGCACATTAACAAAAATTCAAATCGGAGACGAAAAACGATTATGATATGAAATTATGAAAATATTGAATATATATATTGAAAATACTAATACGAAATAAATAAGAAACAAGAAAAAAGAAGATTGCAAGCGATTTTACTATGAAATATCTAGAAAAAAGATAAGGAATTTAATATGAATAGGAAGAAATAGAAATATTAATAATAGATAAATTGGAGATAATAGATATAGTTTAGGTAATTAGAGATTAGGTAGATAAGTAAAATATAGGTAAAAAGATTTAAATATTTAAATATAAATAAATATTCATAGATAGATGATTTTAAATCGATAGAATGATTGCATAATGATAAAACTATATATTTTAAAAATTTTTCTCGTGCTTATATATATATTTGTAGGTCTTAGAATTAAAATAGACTTTATTTTTCTATAATAAATAAAAGAGATATATAGATAGACTTATAATTGATATTAGATAAGTATATATTTAGAGTAAGGGATCTTAGAATTCGTCTAATTAAAATCTTGATATATTTCTTATTTATATTTTTTCTGTGTTTCTATTTCGTTTTCTAAATTCTTTCTATATTTGTCGAATGCTCGTAAAATCGAATATATTTACTTAATCTGAAAGAATTTGGAAAAAAAACTAAAAACTTTATTAAGTTATAGAGTCGAGTGCACAATTCGAGTTTAGAGAATCTAGTTATAGAATTAAATATATAGAGTCGTTAAGCACAAAGACTAGGTTTAGGGTTCAAGATACTCGATATTTTTGACTCTATGGACACTATATATATCTCTACTCTATATTTAACGTTATTTCACTCTATATTTGTCATCTGCACTCGGCTCTGTGCACTATACCTTACAGGTACTTGATTCTATATTTGTCGTGACTCTATATTTATCATCTATTTTCATCTACGTACTTAGGGTCTAGGGTTTACTATACTTTACAGATACTTGACTCTATATTTATCGCGACTCTATATTCATCATCTATTTTCATCTACGTATTTAGGGTTGACTATACCTTATATGTACTTGATTCTATATTTATCGTGATTCTATATTCATCATCTATTATCATCTATGTACTTAGGGTTTAGGATTTATAGGGTTTAGGGTACTCAATGTACGTGATTCTATGGACTCTATGTGTATCTCTAATCTATGTTTATCGTCACTTCTCTCATGGCTTCGTACGCGCGGGATCCCGAAAAGTTATAACTTTACCTCGCGTTCGGTGGCTCGACCACGCCAATCCCTCGTAAGGGTTGCGCGGGGCGCCGACATATGAGAAAAAATGTGAAACTTTACCTCGCGTTCCTGTGTTTGACCAAGCGAATCCCTGAGAAGGATTGCTCGTGTCCCCCAAAATTTGTCATTTTACGACGCGTTCAGTCGCTCGACCANNACGATCGGAAAAATATATCATTTTACTTCGTGTTTTTACATTTGCCCTCGCCAATCCCTGGAAAGGATTGCGCGTCACGCCACAAATATAACATTTTACGACGCGTTCAGTCGCACGACTAGGCCAATCCATTGTAAAAATCGATCTAGTGGCCACCCAAAAAGTGTCATTTTACGACTTGTTCATACGTTCGACCAGGCCGATCCATTGTAAAAATCGATACGTGTCGTCTCACGATCGGAAAAATATATCATTTTACTTCGTATTTTTACATTTAACCTCGCCAATCCCTAAGAAGGGTTATGCGTCACGCCGAAACTGTGTCATTTTACCTCGCGTTCAATCACTCGACCAGGCCAATCCATAGTAAAAATCGATACGTAGCGCCTCACGGCCTCGTAATTTTGCATTTAATCTCGCCAATCCAGATTATGTGTCACGTCGAAAATATTCATTTTACGACGTATTTTAACGGTCGACCAGGCCAATCCATAACAAGGGTTGTATTCCCGACGGAGGCCTCGGAGCTGGCTGTAATTTAATCTTTAAAATTTTCCAAATATCGATATATAATTAAACGAAATTTTCTAGAATTTCGCCAAACTCCACTATTTTAATTTCAGAAAAGAAATAAATATCACGAGATAAATAAGAAAAAAATATTTAAACATATAAAAAAAACGAAATTATAGAAATCAATAAAACATATCAAAATAACCAGAAATAGTTAATATAAATATCTATATTTCTCATATATATAATTATTACATATATATATTCTTTTTTATTCGTATATTTCCATATATATTTTCGTATTTTCAAAAATAGAAAAATAAATAATAATACCGATTTTCTCGTCCAAAAAGAATTTCATTATCAATACCAATTCTAAATCCATCAATCTTTAAATTTAAATCTTTATACGTATTCTTTATATTTTTTCATTCTTCTATGAAAATTTGGCCGTCTAATTTCATGATATAATTTCATAATGATTCATATATATATATATGAGAATATATATATATATAATATATTAGAATCAAATAGATAAAATCATCTATTTCGTCTATCAAAAATGAATTTGCTCCCTAGTTCATCTACAAATCTTAACCACAATCTTGAATCTATTAATTTCGAAAAATGATGAAGGATACGAGTGATGAAAAGCGGCAAACTGTCGATATCGCTTCGGTAATCATTTCGAGATTAGAGGACAGTAGAAACACGATTATATTATGGTTGACCCGGAAGACTTCAAGCGAGACGTCTCTCGTCTGAGCGTGTATCAAATCAACAAAGCCTATTGTTCGACCAAGGAGCAATGGATCTTTCTTATGTGCGCGGTACACGATAAGCGCTCGCGGCCCATATGCATTAATGACTCGACTATGAATAAGGTTCATGTTCGGAAACGAAGATCCCCTGTTCTACGAGCTTGGGATCGATGACGATGAAAACATCTTCCCATTCGATGTGGGCCGTGCTTTGTCGGAGGAAAAAAATCAACGAGAACGAGAAGCTGAGTTGCATGCTGACGCTTCGCGCGGCGGCGGTGCCGATTACTGGGAACGCAACGACAAGTTCCGCTTGCTCCGAGAAAGGCCATGGTTCATCCCGGTAAGCCTCCCGGGGCAAGTGGGAAGGCTCCGGATCCATGGAAGCTCTCCACTGTCCGAGCGTTTCGAGTCCAATATGAGGCACGACGCTGGTGACGATTCGCGAAGAAAACTATGCTTTCGGAATCACTCGGCTGATGCAGTTGTGGACTGCTGCGGTTAATTTCTTGCCGATGGACACTTGCCCGGTAAGCCGCGTGGATACTCGTATCGCTCGCTCCTTGAGCTGCCCAGGGGCGCGCTGGGCTCGGAGCCGGCGGTGAAACTCGTCGCTCCACCGTGCACCGGCCTCGGAGGCAAGAACACATGCAGGTAAGGAGGGCCCGCTCGCAGCAGCTCGGGGTAAGCCGCACGCTTACGCCGCTCAGCGACGGCGATCGTGGCTTCATCACGCGAGGCAGCAGAAGGCTGGAGCTTCCACCTCTCGTGTCACAGGGGAC